AGATACTCCCTGTAATATCTCCACATAGGCTGAGAAGCCTTTGGCCATCTCCAGGTGCTGAAGGGCTTTTCTGTGTCGTTGTCCTCTCTTACTAACTCCCAGGCAGGATTGTGCACTCCACTGCTGCCACCTTCAATAGATGCCAGTGATGATGCAGGACAATCCAGCACCTCAGTACTCAGGATCACTGTGCCCCAAAAAGTGGAGTGCCAGCTGTTTGCTCTTCTCCCAAAATTCACCTTTAGCACCAAACAAGTTAAAGGATTAAGGGGAATGGAATAATGGAAGGTTTTATTCACTGTCTCCCAAATACTAATCATTTAGTGAAGAGCCTAGAAGATGTGTATTGAAATGAGAGGGGGGAAAAAATAATTCTGCCAAGCTGTGCTTCAGATAAGCTCTAAAAGGTGTTTTTTCTGTCTCTGCTAACAAGCTGTCACGATGCTTAGAAAGCCTCATGGGTTGTCGACGGTGAGTGAAAGTATTTGGATTTTATTGTGGTAAATTTGGTTTTGGTTTGTGTGTTGCTGTCACTTGGAAGACGAATCTCTCTGAAGCATTCATGTTTCCTGGGGGACAAAGGACTGTTTTGTGACCAGCTCATCAAAGAATTTGGCAAAGTGTCTGCAGTGCCATTTGAGTTGGCATCAAAGCTCCATCCAGACTTCACTGCCAGATTCATGCTTAATGGATTTCAAACATTGCATGGTGGCTGTCTTATAAACCTGGAATGAAACTGTCCTTTTGGTTTTAATTTAGTAGAGGTTCAATTCTTTTATGGAAAAAACCCCACTGAAATAGCTGTGTTTTTCTTCCTTTCAGATCTATCTCTCCCAGACTCCTCTGTGTCCTAACCCTGTGTTTGACCTGATGCTGAAATGTTGGAGCAGGGATATAAAAGATCGTCCGACTTTTGACATGATTCACCACTTCCTGCTAGAACAAATGGAATCAAACATTTGACTCCAGAAAGAGACAAACTGTTGAGAACGGAGTGACTTTGGTGTCTTCTTTGCCTGTACCTCACGGGAAGATGGTCAGGCCACCTTGCTCTCCTCCCTTGACTGTTCTGTATTTAAGTTGAGATGTCCATGGCAGCTGCTCATTCTATTGGCCATGGTCTGACACACAGGACCAGAGGATCTCATTTCGTTGAAAAATCATCTCCTCTTCTGAATCATTTCCTGGGAATACTGTGAGAGGGGTTTTATTAGATACCCATACACCTTTGGGCAAAACGAATGAGTAAAACTTTGAGGGACTTGGAGCTCTCTCCTGGGTGGAATAGAAAGCTACCAGTCGGTGAGAGCGCTACCACTCAAGAACAGATTTCTAGAAGTAAAGACTTCAGTCTTCTAAGACTATTCCATTAAGTCAAATGGAAGTCTTGTGCACATTAACAAGTGTTTCTGTATGCTCTTGCTACAGACAATATGTATAGTGAGAGACTAGAAATGTCTAGAGCTAGGGAATGGTTTAACAGACTTGAGAACTGACGGAGCTGGATTTAGCAACCCTTTGGAAGTAATGCTACCAGGGTCTACGGAGGATGCTGATACAAGAGTCCAAGATCATGTTCTTTTTTCCTGTGGTTGTTAAGCACTGCTTTTGTTATATATGTGCGTTTTCCCCACACTGGATTTTTTTTCTAGAAAAGAAATTTTGAAAATGAATGTTAAAGGTCATGGGAAGGTCACTACGGTAGAAGATCTTCTTTTGACCTACAAATTAAGGCTAGGGTAGGGAGTTTGTATTGAAAAGTAGCTGATACTGTACTACTGTCACTATGTAGATTTATTAGCCTAATGAACTTGTAGCCACAATGGACTGATGTGCAATTAATCCTGTATAAGTACCCATTAATATGAGATCTCTAAGTCAATGCTGTTACATGTGCAGAGGGAACTTAGATTTGGTGAAACCGAATGGCTGAGAGCAGAACCTGCTATGTCACTTGTCGTAGCTTATGCGAGAGGAAAAGCAGCAGAGTACGGGTCGTCCCCGGCACATGCGTGCGCACACGCATTCAGATACGTATTTCTAGCATCAAGTTCCTCTTCAGGTCTGCAGCAGGGTTAGTGCTATCGGCCAGGCAGATGCACTTTGGCCCAGGCTCCTTTATTGCCGTGATCAAATCTGGCATCGGGAGGTGGGACAGACATATCCCCTTGGTCTGGATTTGCGTTTTATTTTGGATGCTCCCTGCACAATGTAAGACAATTTACTCATTGAACTTGGGGTTGTTTTTTGTTTGTCGTGTCACAAACGGCTCATTCTCTGGAGGGTTTTAGAGGGCTCTGAAATCCATTTGGAGTGAGTTAGAGAATTCAGCTTGTTTCTACAATAAATCCATTGTGGATTTACCAGGTGCCTGGGGAATACTCTGCTGTTCCCTCTCTAATTGTTTAGCAAGATACTTAGGACCAAACCAAATATTTCATAAGCTGGGAGAAGATGAAAGCTCAGCACTTGGCTTTTTTTTAGACAGCATCCAGCATAGCATATATTTCCAGTAAAGATTATAAAGATAATTTTTATCTTGGCCAGAAGCGTGGTGTGAATGGCTGTCTGTGCTACGAGCTCTGTAAGAGGGCACTGCTGAGAGAGAGAATGTCAAAACTGTTGTAATATGAGGATAATTATGACTGTTACCTTGAAAGAAAAAACCTGCTTCTGAATTGGCAGATGCCAGGATGGAGCGTGGCATGGCCGTGTCTGCTCCCCAGGCAGAGCAAACTCCGTCGTGAAGTTTCCCAGTTGCAGCTCAGTTGATAGAACCATGCCCAGGTTGTCCTGCTGCAGACCTGGCGTGGGGTTCCCCTGGCTGCGTGTAGGCGTCTCCATCCAAGCTGGTCCTCTGAGCCCCCTTGACGCGGTAAAGGAGTCGGAGGGTACAAGTCATCTCATCTCCCTGCGAGGGCTACACGGGCTCAGGTGAATCTCACCCCCAAATAGGTATCTTTTTTTTTTTTTTCTCCTTTGACTAGAGGGGCCCAGGGTGAGCTGCCGTTACACGTGTGCACTGTCTGTCTGGAGCTGGGCGATTGGAGTCAAAGCCAGCGTGGTCCCTGCTGCAGCCTGTCGGGCACTGGTGGCTGGCAAACCACGCATCGATTGTATTTCTGGAGTATTTCTATCCTGCCCCAGAAAATGTACCTAGGTAATACACAGCCGTGTGCATGATCTCCTGTACTTCAGAGTTTGGAGATACCAGAGCGCTGTAACGTCACCCGGATGGGCTTTGTAATTCTGTTACGTCAGGACGTGCTGTTCCTCCATTGACATGTTGACATACGAAGCTTCTCTCATATCAATAAATTCTAACGATAACCTTGACAAAAGTGAATTTCTACTTTTTTACCCAGGTGTCTGCACTGAGGACCGATATTTTGGTCTGATTATTCAGTAGCTCGTTAAGTCTGTGACCCCCAGGTTTGGAAGGAGCAGCCGCTGGCCATTTAAAGGAGGGAGCTTTGAAGGGAGTTTATGAAGATGCTGGCCTGAGCCTCCTCAGGAGCTGAGGAGGGTGATGGGACCTGGAACAGCCTGGGATCGTTGTTTGGTGCTATGAATACAGTTTTTGGTTTTAGTAAGCAATTTTTTTTTTCATGTTCACATTAAACTCAGAGGAAGATCTAGGCTGGGAGGGACCTTTTGTAGGTCTCTAATCCAATTGTCTGCTAAAAGCTGAGCTAACTTCAAAGCTGCATTGGGGTGCCCTGGGCGTTCCCCAGCTGAGCTTTGAAGATCTGCAAGAATGGAGATGCCACCATGTGCCAGGGCTGTGCCTCTCCCGCGGGGGAGAATTTTCTCCTTCCGTCCAGTGGGCCTTCCCCTTGTCGCATCTTGTGCCTGTTACCTCTTGGTCTTCCACTGCGCACCTCTTGAAGAGCCATCGTACGCCTGTCAGACCCATCCACCCTGCAGACCCGGCGTTGCTGGAGAGGTCTGCCCCTGGTTAGAGCTCAGGTATTTGGGCAAACTCAAATATATTTATAAAGGCTGGAAATTCCAGATCTCCCAAAGCATTTAGGGCACCAAGCACAAGAGTCAAAGCTGCGTTTTTATCTCCTCCGATACAATTTTGGGTGGAGTATAGGCACCTAAATACATTAGAACAACCCTCAAATACTCTGTGATTTCTGGTTAGTAGCTTTGAAACCTTAAAATGATTCCGCCAGCCACGTGGCCGAGCTCTTCAAGGCCATAGAGGGACTTTGGCAGTGAAGCAGGCTTGCTGCTGGTATTGTAGTTGGTGGAAACGATGCTGGTGCTAACAAGCGCAGTGGTCTTTGACTTGAGGACGTACTGGCCACAGTGGCTGTTCAGTAAACAGGAGGCCTGTGTCCTGGGCCTGCCTTCAGCTGGAGGGGGGTGAAACCCACTGCACACAAGACAACGTGACCATACGATGTTGGAAATGGGAACCACGTTTATCCTGCGTGAAGCAAGGCAGCGAAGGATTGCATCCTCAAACAGCCAGACTGGGAGGGCAACGAGGAGCAGGGAGAGGAGGGTTGAGCCTTCCACCACAGCGCGGTGAATCCCCCAACCTCTGCCTTGGGGTTTCCTCGACAGAAAGGTGTGCGCGTGGCCGTGTGTGTGCAGACAGCGCTGGCCTGGCTGTGCATGTGCTGTAGCAGTGACCGGGGCACGCGCAGCCAGGATCTCCCGAGTTGTGCGTGTTGGACGTGAACCGCACCATGAACACGTATTTGTGCTGGGGCTGCTTACAGGGAACATCTGGCGCTGCTGTCCCAAGGGCTACGAGCCTTCAGGAAACCTGACAAATGCTATAAAACCTCTGTGCTCATCCAAAATTTCCAGGTGGGGGAGGGGAAACAGACGTGTCCAGAAAAACCTGACAAGCTGTGTGCTGCAGCTGGAAGTGCTGTCAGGTACTGACATCGCTCCCAACAGCATCACAGAGGTTTCCCGGGCGACGGCATCGTGCTGCATCTCCTCCCTCCCACGCCCGCCCCGAGAGCTGCCGCATTGCCATGGCAGCCCCGAAGGAAAATAGCCTCTTCCCTCCCGATCCCTACTATATCCCCGGGTAAGTTCTGAAGTTCATCCAAAACGTCTGTTCATTTCCAATGCAAATAGCTACGGTTGGGATCACGTAGTATTTACGATCCATGATATTTTGGGTTTTTTAAAGACACCACTAAATATTCCGTGTCACAGTGCACTGAAGGAGACAGGGCTCCAGGATAAGAAGCACCACCTTGTAACAGGGTATAATTAAAGACCATTCCATAGCACATTAAGGGTAAAGTCAAAATAGTTCTTTTTTTTTTTCCCTTTTTTCTCATTTGTTTTAAGCTGCCAAATGTTACCAGGGCTGCTGTGCAGGGTTTGGCTTCCAAACTGTCATAACTTTTGCATCAAGGATGTTTGAAGATATCCTTTGAATAAATATTTGCATAGACGTGATACGCTCTTGTCAAATTGGAGCGCAGTCCTGCCGCCGGATCCAAGCTCTTTGAAGAAGTCAGTGACTCTGTGGATGCTGGTGATCTAGTTGCTACATAGCTAGATTTTTTTTCAAAGCTTTTTGCAACATCCTCCTCTAAAGGCTTGGAAAGAGGTAATGAGTTATTTGTTAAAAGGTAAGACACGAACAGTAGAAATAAGTGGATAGGCTTCGCGGTGAAGTGGAGAAGTTGTGCGCGGGGTCCCCTGGTGACCCGTGCTGGGAGATGCGGTCCCTGATGTGCATAAATGGGCTGGGAAGGGCTGGATGGCCACCGAGGGAAAACAAGCTTCTGTTGGTACAAAATCACTTGGATTAGTCCAGCCCGAGGGTAACTCCGAAGGGCGTCAGGGCGGAGGGGCTGGTGACAGCCCAGGCTGCAAACCTCAGCGCAGAGAAAACCAGCCGCGTCCAGCACGGCCACGGGTGCAGCAGAGGTGCGGGCAGGAGGCAGGCAGATCCCAAGCTGCAGACAAAGGGTGGAGCGCGTTTCCTTCCTTAACGATGCTCCTGCGGTGACGATCACACCAGTCCTTCCCATTAGAGCAGCGTGCAGGATTTCTCCATTACTGATCTCCCGATCTTCCAAACTTACATAAGCTCTGGGGTTGGGGGTTTTTAACACGTTTCTGCATTGCTGCGGTTGTCTGAACGATGTGATGTGTTACCCCGTGCATGTTGTCACCCTGTCAAAGCTGTGCGCTGACAGCAGCTTGGGAAAGACGAGTAGCAGCAAGGAGGGAGCTGCGGCTGGGCTTGCACCTCCAAAAGCCTCAAAACCTTCCCTTGCTCGCTCCTGCTTGCAGACAGCCCCCCCAGAAGCAGCTTTGAGCCCTAATACAGACACAGCAGCCGGGGCTGCTCCTCTCCAGGCTGGTGCCTTGGCCACTGAAGGCAGGAGGAGGAACCAAATTCTGCTACTGCTGTGCAGGCTCATAGCGTCACCCCAAGCCCCAGAGGAAGCCCCTGTGGGTGGTGAGGGTGCTGCTTTGCATCTGGTTTGGGTGGCTGAGCGCAAGGAGGAGCTGCCCTGAAGGGCAGCACCGGAGCCCAGGCTCTGCTGCCAGCAGATGGTGCACCCTGAGCTGGGGTGCCGGCAGGAGGAGGAGGAAGATGCCATGTCGCAGCGTCTCGCCAGCTGTCCCATGTGCTGTACCCGGCCATGCTGGTGAACCCGCAAACAGAATGAGGGCATCAAAGCTGGTTGCTGTCACTCGGGTCAGGCAATGGTCATGGCCAGGGCTTTGAAAATGCCACTGCAGTGCTCAAGAGCATTGGGAAGCCAAACCCAACGTGGGGGGTGGTTTGGGAAGGACTTGGCTCACAGAGAAGGGGTCAATCCATGAATCCCAGGCACAGCCCTGCTTGCCCCATCCCAGCTTGGTGGAGCTGGGAAGGGCATGGAGCTGAGTGAGGATGGGCCCAGGGCCAAGGCTTTTCCCTGGCGATCAGGAAGGCTGAGCAGGTTTAGGTGATGCAGTCTGGGGAGTGGCGATCGAAGAGATATGGCTGAGTAAGAGAAGAGTGAAATGGGGCTCAGCCTTGGGAAAGCAGGTTACTCACTGCTCGCCAATGAGGGCTGAGATCAGTGGCTGCAGTGGCTCAGTGTGAACTACAGAAATGGGGGATCTCTCTGGTTTCTTAATCAAAATACCAAGCAGGAGAAGGTCAAACAGTCCTGCTGTGACTGGTCTCTTCCCCAAGCGCCACGGCTTTTATCAACAGCACTTATAATTCACTCTGCAGCAGATCCCTTTGCCATAAACCCAGACTGACTCGCCCGAGCTCCTTGGATTACCTCGCTTTTAATTGCTTATGAATGGAATCCTTTCTCAGCCCTACCATTATGTTGTTCATGATCAAAATCCCTCTGGCCATCCTGTAATTATTCAGGCGCTCTCATTTGTGCTCTTGCTCAGCTTTATCGTTCTGGCGTAGCTTCCCTGTGTTGCAAGACTCATTGAAAATCAATGGGAACGAGTCACCAAGCTTCTCCAGCAGCTGCTGGTGAGAGATCCTGCATGCAAAGTGGGAAAACTTGCCAAGAGTAAATGCACGGCTCTGCTTGCTGTTGTTTGAAGTATTTGGAAGGGAAAGTACTTACTCATCTTATGATCCTCATGCATCATCCAGCTTTATCCCCAGATACGCAGTGGGATCATTGATTGAATATTTCTGTCTGTACATTGTAACTGGCAGCTCTACCTTTCTTCTTCAGTGGTGGAATAACATCGTCATTAGGAAATTTGATACTGGGAATAGCTAAAGTTTCTGATCTGTGCTGGTGGACTTGGGAGGGGAGCCAGAGCTCCAGCACCTGCCCTACCCTGAGCCACCAAAAAGTCAAACTGCCTATCACAGGCCACAGGGAGCGGAGAAGCAGCGTGTTGCTACACACCCCCCACAAAGGTCCCAAAAAAATAGTGATGTTTGTTACCAGGGCTGAGCAGCTGCCTGCCCGCCCGTGCCTCTGCCGTGCAACGTGGTGCCTGGGTGGGTTTATGAGCCCAGTCCCGCTCCTTGCTACAAGGGCACGGAGCAGCGAGGTTTGGAGGGTACAAGCAATTTTTCTGGTTTTTTGAGTTTCAATATTGAACGAGGGACACTGGGAAATTCGCAGTAACTCACTGTGTTTTAGAACAGAGAGGGTTTGCAAAATGTAAAACTGAGGCATGTTTAACTGGGGGCTGTCGACATCAGCACTGTCAAAGCGACTGCAGCCCACGCTGTGCTCCCGCTGTAAGTTTTCCCATCCGCAGGTGCTGCTTCGGCCATGCTCCCTGACCTCGTCCCATATTCCTCCGTGAACCAAAGCACAAGCCTGTGCCTATACACACCCGTAAATCTATGAGCCAGTTTTCATGCTGACATGTAAAAACACACATGTGCAAACACACAGAGACCCGTCTGGCTTCATGCGTAACCACACACATCTTCTCGGTGCTCCCCTCGCGCTGCTGCTCCAGCGGCGTAAACTCATTCACGCTCACAGGCACGTCCCTGTACAATCACCTTCCCTGGGCTGATGTACTCCAAGCTGCGTGTGCTCCTGGCCTTGGCCTTTCCAGCATACAAAAGCTCTGAAGCAGGTTATCCTACCAGTGGCCGCCTTCCAATGCCATCTCAGTGACTGCTCTTTTTTGGTTTCCTCCTCAGCTACGAGGGCTTCGTCCCTCAGTACAACTATCAGTTTGGAGAAACCTTTGGCAAAACCACTTACCGCCTGCTGACAGATCCTGGTGTTCGGAAGAGCCCTCGTCCCTTGCTGGCACCGCTGCACAAGGAGAGGTTCGTTGAGGACTTCAGCGGGACAAAGCACGGTGTCCAGGGTTATCTCCCTGGCCGTCCAGGTGAGCAGACCCCAGGTCTCATCCCCTCACCAGAACAGGCTCTGCTAACAAGCACGGGGTCAATCACGAGCAGCGGGGTCTGTGCCTGTCCTCGATAGGCTCCTGGGGTGAAATGGGATATTTTCCATGGAGCAATCGTAGCTCTGGTGTAGGAGCACGGACACCCGGAGAGCAGCACCAGTGTGGAGTTGGAGCACTCAGCCTCAGCTGATGAGCATGGGGCTTCTCCCACTGGCATCTGGTGGAGTGGAGAGAAGAATTTTAGTTCCCAGGTTGTCTTCAGTTAGATGAAGATAAATGATTTTATGGCATATTATGAACTCACTCCCTAATTCTTCTATATTCCTGTCGTGGTTTAACCCCAGCTGGCAACTAAGCACCACCCAGCCGCTCGCTCACTCCCCTCCAGCGGGATGGGGGGAGAGAATGGGGAGGGTAAAAGTGAAAAAACTCGTGGGTTGAGACAAAGACAGTTTAATAATTGAAATAAAATAATAAAAAATTGTAATGAAAAGGAAAATAACAAAAAAATAAATAAAACCCAAGAAAAAACAAGCGATGCAAATGAAAAGTTGCTCACCACCAACCGACCGATGCCCAGCCAGTCACCGAGCAGCGGCCCCCCCCGCCAACCTCCATCCCCAGTTTTATTGCCGAGCATGACGTCGTATGGTGTGGAATACCCCTTGGGTCAGCTGGGGTCAGCTGTCCCCTCCCAACTTCTTGTGCCCCCCCAGCCTGCTCGCTGGTGGGGTGGGGTGAGGAGCAGAAAAGGCCTTGACTCTGTGTCAGCACTGCTCAGCAAAAACATTGCATTATCAACACTGTTGTCAGCACAAACCCAAAATACAGCCCCATACCAGCTACTATGAAGAAAAGTAACTCCATCTCGGTCAAACCCAGCACAATTCCACAGGCTAAAAATCCATCTCTCTGGGGAAGGTCGGCTCTGCCACCTCCGCCCCTTTCCCGGCTGACCCGCCCGGTGCAGCGCTCGTTCTGCTCAGAGCTCTTACTCGCAGCTTGTGGTTCATTTTGCATCTCGCTGCTCCTACCTCAGCTCAGCAGAAGGGCTTGTGTGCCCTTCCCTTCCCACCTTCCTCACTTCTGCTAACGGGCCCCGTCTCCTCCATCAGACACTGAGACATGCTCATGTAGATTCCCAGCGCTGGGAATTTGCAGGAATCTCCCACCAAGTCCCAGCCCTTCTGGGCAAACTGCCTGGTCCTTGTTGAGCAGACCCAAATCAGGCCACAGCAGCAGCAGCCGCACCGTGATCCCTATCAGCCCCTCTCAGGGATGTGCCATCCTTTGGAGACATATTTGTCATGAACCGTATCACGTGTCTAAGCCGTAGCTGTTGTGGGTGCCCTGTTCAATGGGAGTGAGTCCTCTCCCAGCTGAACACAGGGGTAACATGCCTGGGCCGGATCTGGGTCTTCGTTTCCCTGGGGATGGCCACGCCAAAGCGATGCTTTCCAATTTCTCGCTGGGAATTCGTGCTGCGTAGCTTCTTGCAAACTTTTGGCATTTCTGTTCTTCCTAGCCATGTTTTTCGGGATCCAGGTCTCCACGACGCAGGTGGTATTTACAGACTTCATTCCTGGACATTTAAATTTGCATTTCCTTGGACTAAAATGTAGTTTGGACGGACCCAACCAACCAGTTGACCTAGTTGCTCTCTCTCATTATCCTGTCCTCATTCTTGTTCTCTCCTCACCAACCTTTACGTCACCTGCCAACGTTGGCTGCTTGTTGGTTAAATGCTGAAGAACACGGCCACAGGGAGCACCTTGCTGTGCTGGTAACTCTTCATCAACAGCTCCTGCTGTCGAGCTGTCGGTGAGCAATCCCTAAAACCCTTCACTGCAAACTTTATTAGTACTGCCGGGCCTCCTCCTGGGTATTTTCCATGATGGAGATCAAAGAGCTCGTGGCAGTGTTGGATCTGTGTGGTTGCCTTTAGCAAACTCAGTCTGAAGACGTTTTCTCAAGGTCTATTTTTGATAAAGCCTTGGTGATGGGCACCAAGTATATTGCTGGGTTTTATCAGTTGAATCCCATGTTGTTTTCTTGCTGGAAGTGAGGTCAGGCTCGGTTGGTTGGGGATATCAACCAGGGTTATGCTGGATCTCCAGGGGTGGCTGCGTTGACCTTGTTGGCACAGGCCAAGCGTGCAGGCACGTGCTCCCCAGGAACCTGGGCTGAAAACATATGGATATTTACTCAAATCAAATGCACAGTGCTCTCCTGGCTTTTAATTTAGTGCCTTACTGTGCAACCTTTCTGAATCAATAAGTTTGGAAAACCCAGGGTCGTAGAAAAGAGCTAATATGGATTTCTCAAGTACAAAACAATTTCATTTTTCCTTTTCCTTTGGTTTGTGGGATAAAAAGAAAGAGTAGATGCAATATTTTCATTAATAATGAAGGAAATATTAAGATAAACCTACTTTAAAATTTGCACACTGGATTGAAAAATCACTTTCATCAAGGATTTGTCTTAATTTTGTTGCTAGCTTGGACAACACTTGATAATACAGTTATATAGAATATATATACTTTACAAAGTTAAATACGGTATATATAATTTATAATACAATTATAAGCAGATTACAAACCTAAATGCCCATCAGAAGTCTTATACTCTTGCAGAAAGGGGTAAATTTTGCTCTGCGCTCTTTGAGCCGGGATAGGTAGTTATTCCTCAGGACTCTCTGCAGATGAAGCCTTCGCTGGAAGGCAGCGTCTCGTCCGTGGGGCTTTGCGCTGCGATACAGATGTCCACCAAACATGAGGAGGTCAGGGGAAGGCAGTAATGACCAGAGGGCTGAAAAAAAAATGACCTATGAGAACAAAAATGAAAGGAATTTGGTTTGTTTAAAAAAGACAAGACTGACATAGTACCACTTTTCCAATAAGGAAAAGGTTGTTGCGGGACGTTAAGAGCGATCGTCCTCCATAACCACCGAGGAGGGAGAAATTGGCTTCACTCCTGGCACAGAGCATGAGGAAGCACCCGGGCTGGAGGTGTCGTACGGGGCCGGGGCAGCCTGGGGAGCCACGTCACGGGATATTTTTAAGGGAAAGTCAGACAAAGTTGCCAAGCTTGGCTGTCCCTGCGGAGTCTCAAGCTGCAGGGCTCCATCCCTAATTCACAGCGGAGATATTTAGGATATACTGGCTGTAAGATATTTTTTCTCTCAGCCAGTGTCGCAGCAGACCCTTTCCTCGATGAGCAGCAATGAAGCCAGTGCAAGAATTCCTTGTTGGACACCGGGGGGGGTGTGTGTGTGTGTCTGTGTGTGTCTGTGTTTCAGGTGTGCTGATGCAGCCACGTGGAGAAAAGCATACGGGTTTTTCTTTTCCCCCTTAATCTTTATATCTTGGCTGATGATATTTTACAGTTTAGGCATCACTTAGAATAAACTTTAAGTTATTGAACTTATATTTGTGCAGTTTTTCTGTGCAGGCCGGTTTATTGGATGGGGCTGATGGCACTCGCACGATGCACTCGCAGCCCGTGGGATGCTTTTGACCTCCAGGCTCCTTTCCTTCGCTCTGGAGGGGCATTTGGGGGCCGAGGTCCAGTGCGATGGGAATCCCTCATCCTTGTTCGGCCACTCCTTTCCCTTAACTCAGCGTCTGTCCCGCAGGGTACTTTCCCTATGAGAAAGCTGGGGCTGCAACAAGCTTTCCTGAACCAGTCCTTGGGCCAAAACCTCCCCCGCTGGGGCCAGAGCCGGCAGAGGAAGAGCTGATGATGATGCACGTGGACCCCCTGCCCCAGCACCTCCCCGGCGAGTACGTCCCGAGGACGCGACTGCCTCAGGGGTACCCACAGAGGATTTCATGCTGTTCCGCGTCTGAGGGGCGAGAGTGGCGATTGCCCGAGCTAACCCCGGCCTGTGGACAGGGAAGGAGGTGCGGACCCGGCTGGCTCGGCGGTACCTTGGCAGGAAGCAAACCAGTAAGCGGTCTTGGGTGGAAAAGACGTGTGGTAAGGGATGCTGCTGCAGAGGGATGGGGTTTGGGGACTGGTGGGCATGGAAGGGATCTCCTCGGTCCAGGGGTGTGAAGAGGGAATTTCATATGGGTGTGGATGGCAAGGATGGAAAGTTTAGCATGTCATGTAGAGAAATATCAAATACACGAACGTTTCTAGCAGTAGCAAATCCACCACGTCTTCAGGAAATTGTTCCTAATCAAAAAGGCTTAGCTTCTCATTTGGTTGAGTTTTAGCTTCAAATCCCAGTCCTTACATCTTGCGTTACGCTGTGCTGTGCAGCCAGGCTTGTTTCCTTTGGGTGAACTGGGAGGCCTGCTGCTGCCCGCCTCGTCCTCGTCCTCGTCCTCCTCGTCCTCCTCCTCCCGAAAAGAGAGCGCTCCTGGCACCTTTGGTTACTGCCGGCTTTCTGACCCCTTAACTGCTCCCACCTGAATTTCCCACCATCATTATCCCTCGTTTAAACACAAGCACCAGGATTTGCCTATAGAGCAAATATTTCTTCCGGAGCCAGAGACAGCATTTGTCACGTCACAGCCAGCCAGGGCTCTGCAAATCCTCTGAAGGCAGAGATTAGAGATTTGACGTATCGAGTCAAAAGCTGGCTTGGATATAAATCCCAAGAAGGGGCATTCCTGCTCCTTGCTCTGAGAAACAGATTTACAGAGGAGCTCAGTGCCCAAAGCTCCCCTTGTTCTCCCTGGGGATTTTGCAAAACCTCTGCGTACAGAGAGCTTGTCTAGTAACTTGACTTTACCAGAAATTCTTGGAGTAGCTCTTAGTGTAAAACTGGGAAGAAATGGAAATGGCAGTTGCCATTCACAGGTTCTGGCAGTGATTTAAGCAAAGGAAGAAGCAGGTTTTACTGGTGTTTATTTTATTTCTGCTTTTCTTTTGAGCCTGTAAAAATTGAAGGCGTGACACTGCCAGGAGTGGCTGAAACAGTGGATGTGGAGCAAGATAATTGTTTACCAAAACTGGACATACCAAACGCGATCCAACAGAAAGTCATTCCAGGTGAGAGAGAGGGAGGTTATGTGCAACACGAGTCCACCTCAGAAGAAACCGTGTCACCCTTCTCCCCCATCGGGAAACCTCAGAGGTACTGGCCAGTCGCTCCAGCTCATTTGAACACTTTGGGAAGGAAAATGCCCCAGCTCCTCTCCATGCAAGGGTGTTCCTTTGGGATGCTGTCACTGCCGTGGATCTCACACTGAGGGACGCGTGCCCACGGGCAGGTGGAAGGGATGCAGGAGCTACCTCAGTTCCCCCCAGCTGCAGGGCCAGGCTAGAAAGTGCTCTAGAAAGCAAGGAGAGATGGGTCATGGGCTCTGCACCAACTCCAGCAGCTTGATGAGTTATCTGTTACCGTTGAGGTAGTTATTTCTCCCCTAGAAATAAGTCACTTTTCTGAATCATCAAATCAACAAACAGTGGTGTATTGCACCATCATAAATGTATAAAACTCTCTCTTACAAGGAGTTATACTCTGTAACTTCTCCACTTGCTCTGGAAGAGCGTTCCTCTGCAAGCAGGAGAATTACGAAGGCCGATGCACTGAACTCCTCACTGAATGGTATGACACCAGCGGGAGGATACTTCGCTCTGCAGTGGACCACAGCAAATGCAGGGATTGCGTGTCAACAGGTTTCAGTTGAAGTGAAAGAGCATCGATGTTTTAGGCTTTCTCTCTCTCCAAAGCATTCCTTTGGAAAGAGGGAGTTCTGGCTGCTTTTAGGTTGTACCTCTCTATGCTTTATGTAGTTTTAGACTTTATATAGTTTCTGTCTTATAATTGGTGAAAATTTGTTGGATGGGCAGGGCAAATGAGGAAGAAAGGTTGGACACCCGGTTGTTAGCCTCTGAATGTGTATTAAACTGGGAGAGAACGTGACAGAGCTGTTGGTGTAAAGAAAAGACTATAAGAAAATGAAATGTTTCTTCCATACCTCATGGATACCAACAAAGATCAGTTCAGCCCATTGAGTTTTCCTTGGGAATCATAAAAAAGACTCTTTCAGAAAAGATACTTCACACATAAGCGTTAATTTTACAATTTAAATGGATGAATTTTTCCTTCCCATACTCTGCCAAGGTTTTATATTTATCCCAGCCTCTTCCACTTCGAGACTGGTTGATCCTTATACGATATGTATATTCTCAAGCCAAAAATGTTCTCTCTTGTCTTCATCCGAAGGGTACGCTGGATTCATCCCCTGCCTCACCTGGGTTAATGGCGTGAACTACATCCAGGGTGTGAAGGAAGCAATGAACGAATTTGACCGACATCAGGTAGATTATACGCACAAATCTTATTTCAACAGTATAATGTTGGTGTTGATTCATCTGCAACACCAAAAGTGGTTTCATTTACAGTAGCAGTATTAGAACCGGGGTTATAAGTACAAGCAAAACAAAATGCCATTAGGTAATGTTGAAAAAATCATGAGCAATTAAATTCTGTAACTTGTTTCCTTGGGACATTAAGGGAGGATAAATGAGTTCATAAAAGGATTAAGCAAATCTATTGAGGGTTAGGTCAAGGATGGCTATTAAAAATGTTGCTCTGAGTGCAGAAACACAGGATGCAACTATCTATCTGCGCTTCCCTTACGCAATGTATCTTCTCTACCTGGATGGCAGTGCTGGATGGCTTCCTGGGCTGCTTGGATGGATATTTCTCCCTTTTAATTGGTTGTAAGGCTTTTTCCTTTACTAACATAATTTGTCTTAAAGGGATCTAGATCTTCTTTCTCCTCCTTTTGGGAAGGATGCAGAAATATCCCTACTGAAAAACTGTTTTGTCCCCTTGCTGTAAGATCTCCCATATAATGCCATATAATCCTCCTGTACAGGAAAATGAGATCCCTCCCACAGCAGTTAATAGTTTGCATTCAAAGCTACACATTTCTTCCTGCTACCAGGATGGAGTGAGATCCCTGGGATGCAGCCTTCTTGCTGGTCCAGCGCCGGTGAGGGCTGATCAGCTCAGTGACACAGCTCATTAAAAGCAGGTTACAACATTTCCAGCCTTTTCTGGTCACCGGGATTCGCTGCAGTGCCTTCGACCCAGAGCGTATGGGTCTGATGTAGAAAAAAGTCCCAAGATTGAGGATCCCCAGCTCAGAGAAACTCTGCTGGGAAGAAATGACTCAGCGGGGAGAGCAGCAGGGCTGACAGTGCTCACGGCAGCCTCATGCTTTGGCTGAAATGTATTTCTGTATGCTGGCTTCCTTATCCTTTCCTTCTGCTGTCAACAGGAGTTGAAATGAAGCAAACAGAACAAAACCCAGGCATTATAAAAACTAAACATGCTGTTTGCAAAGCTTTTCTGCCCCTGGTTTCTTAAGAAACGTCTGCCATGTAGTAAATCAGCGAGGGAGGTGTTTCCCCGTTGCAGGATTCAGCAGAAGCCAGGCTCGCAGAGGTTAGCTGCAGCACATCAGGCACTGAAGGAATACAAGCACGCTTAAAAAAAAAAAAAAAAATCATACCGCATTTCTATCTAAGATGGCTTCTGACTTCAAGCCACTAATCTTCTGCCCTAAATCTCTGTTGCCCTAGGTTACATACTGGGATGTGCCATGGATCATTGCTTACTGTCCGCATCAGGCAAAATAATGCAATCCTCTCGCTTCAGTGCTGCACTTGAGGAATTGCAGCAGTCGCTCCATCATCAGTCACAAAATGGTTCGACGGCCCCACGGTTTGCTCGGCTCAGTGAACCAGGTCCCTTCACCACCGAGCAGGGTGCACGCTGAGGAGGGCGGCACAGCGTTAGTAGTGACACCTTTAGGGGTTTTGCTGCTGCAGAGACGTGCAGAGCTGCAATATCCATCCTCCAGCACAGCCCCTTATCTGGGTCTGACCTCGGAGGGCAGGGACAAATCCAGGAGATGATTTACATTCTCCCCTCAGTTAAGACTCCCTAAGCCTTCCTGTTCCTCCTAGCTTGGGAATTACTGGCTAATCACAGTTGGTGGGACTCATGGAAAAACAAAACCAGTTGAAGGGGTCAAACCAAAACACGGATGTGCAGAGTCATAGCACAGGAGCAGACGAGGCACATACACCCAACTCCAGCAGATACTGGAGCGTGAGCACAAGGTGTTTGGGACTTGCGGATGATGCCCAAAGGTGATGAATGCAGCCCAGTCTGTGGAGATCCGGATGACTACGCCTAGGCCAGGAGCTGCTCTGTGCACCCGGGGGTCCGAGCAAGCAGAGGCAGCGCTGTCGAGGGCTGCTGCCAACACCTGCCAGGAGAAAAACTTAGGAAGCGGAAAAAAGGGGAAGATGTACATTGCTGTACATTGGCTTAAATATTTTCTCTAATATGGAGTCAAAGCACACGGCTTGGGTAACAACAATATGGTTTAAAATGAACTGTACTGTGTTGTTGGGGTGGTTTTTTTTGTTTGTTTTCCAGTTTTTGCAGAGAAACCCAGCTTGCAGCTTTGGCAAGAGATTTCCCCAAACATACTGGCCTAACAACAGAATTTACACCAGTGCTGGACTAATACCTTCCTACATGGGCTTCGTACCAGGTAAGTTTATCAGCTGAGTGAAAATGAAAAAGTCATTAATACTGTCATTAAGTAGCGCTGTTATTAGCTGTAGTGGCGTAGTAGTGAACAATATTGAAATGTTCCACCCGGGTAGTAGATTTTTTTCCCAGTCTGTGCCAAGGTGCTGGAGCTGTGCCATGCCCTGCCGCTCTGCAGGAGAGCCCATCATCCTCGCTGCCAGCCTGGACTTGTGCAGAACGTTCCTCTGGTTTCCAGCCACCAACCCCTCTGCTGAAGCAGAGGCGGCTCAGTAACACCCCACCTGTTACGCGGGTGTGTTACAATTTCTTCGTCAGGAACGCGGTTCTGTTCTAAAAAGCTTAAAGTCTGATAAAAAGCAAAAGGTAGACGATACAAAGAGGGTGAGAAAGCACAAAAAAAAGCAGTGAAATGGTATTAGCCATCAAGACAGGTGGTGGCTACCCCGTACTGCCTGCCTGAGCCTTGTCAGTTATTGGTGTTGCCTGAAAGGAGAGGTCTGAAGAAAGTACTTTTGTGTATGTTAAGGGGCAGGTCTGCCCATGCACCTGAAAGCATTAAGGTAAGCAGGCTAAAATTTCAACAAATCAGCAACTAATATTGCTATCTTTGGCCACAGCAAAGTCAAGAGCCCACAGCTCAGTAACGTGGGATGGGAAAGCACGGAGACAAGCTAGAAAGAACCAAACTCGTAGCTTGTACTTAATACAGTGCAGAGGAGGAAAATGGTAGAAGACACAAAATGTGGTAGAATGAAAGCAAGAGTGGGAAAACAACTATCCTGGCAGGGTTGGACTGTAGCTGATATCAAGGTTGAGCCCAGCGAGGAGAATGTTGAGGCAGTGAATGTGGCTGTAGCAAGACTTGTATCAGGGCATGGGAAAGCCATGCGGAAAAAGCGAAGTTTAACACACGGCCAGTCATCAGGAGCTTGAGGGACGCTCTAAGGGAAAGGATGGAAGCATCTTACCCACCGATGGAGAAGGGTGAGGCTGGACAGGCCTTCTGATCAAAGATGAAGAGAAGTATGTCCGTTTTGGCCTCTGTCACCACACTCCTGCTCCGGGGCGGATGGCAAGCGCAGCAGTTGCCGTCCCCGGTGCATCAACACTCACCCGTCCCCTTCCTTGGCGCAGCAGCTCTGGGGTGTCTCAGGGCAAAGCCCTGACTGTTCCGGGTGCCCGTTTCCCCTGTGCTGGATGGCCCGGGGAGGGCTGTGGTCACACTCCACAGAGCTGTAGCCTGCGAGCTAAAGCCCCCTGGAGAAAAGCTGTTAGGAGCCTAAGGGTGAGCTGGACTCCAGTGTTAATACTTACCCGTGTGTTTTGTCCTCTCTCCACCAGCCTGCAGAAAGCAGGGGGAGAGCAGCCAGAGCTCTTCAGGGGAGGGCGACTAAGGTAGCTCTGCCCAAAAGGGTGCTGGGGGGACAACACTGTCCTGCCCTCGGTAACTGGCAGGCCAGGGAACACACCAGCTTCAGCGTAATGAAGAGGAAGAAAAAAACCCACCCTAAAATCAAGGACAAAAATCAACTGCTTAAAGCATTACTCCATGCTTTAAAAATCTGTTGCCATCTTTTCACCTACAGAAGTATTCTCCTGTGTCGGTTTGAAACCAGCCACCTGTTCCCATAGACAGACTGATTTCCACTGCCCCAAGAGCCACCACGGTCACTGCAATTTTAACTACTCCAAGCAGTTCAACTCCGGAAGGAGAGTTAACTTAGAACTTAACACAAAATCAGTTACCGTTAAGAACACCGAACAGAATCTCTTCAGCAGGAAAGCAGCCCGCTGCGTCCTGTCCAGCTTTTCAGGGTGACACGTTTGTCACTTTAGGTTACACTGAACATATTAACTGTTTCCACCGTAAAAATTTGCGTTGCTAATAGAGGGTTTTCATGAGACAAAAGTGTAATTTGGTATCAGGTGTTCATCAGCTCGCTTCAAAAACAGCGGCTGCAGTAACACCCGATTGATTTGGTTTTAAAACCTCTACATACTGATTTTAAAAAAAAGTGACTCCAGCAAGGCTGCACACATGGGAGCTCCTCAGTGTCATTTGTCCTCAGCAGCAGGCGCGACACAGCTTGTCACAGCTGTCCCCAACGCTCTTGTGACAGGCCACGGCTACCTGCCGAGTAGCTGCAGTGGATCAGCCAGGGTGAGGCCAGCTCTTCTGCCAGAAACACCCACCTGTACCCATCAGAGGCAGCTTGCCGGCACCATTTTCTTGTCCAGGCAGCCGGGGTAAGCGGTAGCTTACGGACACCTACATTTGAACCTATGCTTCCGTTACGGTCAGGAGAGCTGCTCAGCTCCCGCCGAGAGCGAAGCCTGTAACAGGAGTCCACATGCAGGTACCTAAATTTAGACGCAGCTTGGAGCTGAATTCCATCCTCCGTATGAAGCGCATCCCCCTCCGCCAGCACGCTTGATTATAAAGGAATACCAGAGAATTTCTTCAATTCCCACACCACCAGGAGCAAGTAGGGCTGCCCCCACATCCAGTGGCACAAGCAACAGGCGATCACCTTGTTAGAAGGCAGGGAGAGAAGCGTGGTTGCCGCAGGGAAGGTGGCAGGGCTCATGCCAAGTCCATTATTTTTCTTTTCCAGACCTCCGACACACCTACGCGCTTACTTTTGGAAACAGCACCCGAAAAGCTTACCAAAAGGAACAAAGGAGACGAGCTTGTGCACTGTGAAAAATGCTTTAATGGTGCCTGTACAGCATTTGAAGTGACTTTGAGACAGGAAGAGGAACACAACACAGACAGAGACATTTTGAATGAAAGAGTTCATACAGCTTTAAACAAAATTTACAGGTGTTCATCTGCATAGCTTTTACTCTGCCTCTTCCTCAGCCTCCTCCTCAAACTCCCCCTCCTCCTCAGCTGTAGCATCCTGGTACTGCTGATACTCAGACACCAGGTCGTTCATGTTGCTCTCAGCCTCTGTGAACTCCATCTCGTCCATGCCCTCACCAGTGTACCAGTGCAGGAAAGCCTTTCGGCGGAACATAGCAGTGAACTGCTCAGAAATGCGTTTGAACAGCTCCTGGATGGCTGTGCTGTTACCAATGAAGGTGGCAGACATTTTCAGGCCACGAGGTGGAATGTCACAGACCGCCGTCTTAACGTTATTAGGAATCCATTCAACAAAATAGCTGCTATTTTTGTTCTGAACGTTCAGCATTTGCTCATCGACCTCTTTCATTGACATACGGCCTCTAAAAACAGCAGCTACGGTCAGATAGCGCCCGTGACGTGGGTCACACGCAGCCATCATATTCTTTGCATCAAACATCTGCTGCGTTAGCTCTGGCACAGTTAAAGCACGATACTGCTGGCTCCCACGGCTCGTGAGCGGGGCAAAACCAGGCATGAAAAAGTGCAAACGGGGGAAGGGAACCATGTTCACTGCCAGCTTCCGCAGGTCAGCATTAAGCTGGCCTGGGAATCGCAGGCAGGTGGTAACACCGCTCATGGTTGCCGACACTAAATGGTTCAGATCACCGTATGTTGGAGTAGTTAACTTCAGTGTTCTGAAGCATATGTCGTAGAGGGCTTCGTTATCAATACAGTATGTTTCATCTGTGTTCTCCACAAGCTGGTGCACCGAGAGTGTGGCATTGTAGGGCTCTACTACAGTATCTGATACTTTAGGGGAGGGTACAACACTGAAAGTATTCATAATTCGGTCTGGGTACTCTTCACGAATTTTGCTGATGAGGAGGGTACCCATGCCAGAGCCTGTACCACCACCGAGAGAGTGAGTAAGCTGAAAGCCCTGGAGACAGTCACAGCTTTCTGCCTCCTTTCTTACAACATCTAACACAGAATCAACTAATTCAGCACCTTCCGTATAATGGCCCTTTGCCCAGTTGTTTCCTGCTCCGCTCTGACCTGGAAGAGAGCCATTTTCGTATTAAATTACGGTCACTGCTTACTGCTTGCAAGCAAAGCTTAGGAGCATCAACCTACAGAGAAACCCCAACAAAAGCTTTCATTTTATCGAGCGTAGAGCTGTGGTTTCACACAAGCACCTCTGAACTGGCTTGGCAGATACACAGAAAACATTCCCTATCAATGATACGGCAGCCATTTAATTTCTCCTGATGTTATGGAGGAGGTAATGAGACTCGGAAGAGCAACGACCTCTTGAGCCTTCTCAGACCCGCTCTCCCAGCAGCTGCCATCATGCAGATCCCCGGTATTTCATGCCCGTCATGAAGCGCCAGGATTAACCCCCCTCCCGGGGCCACGCTCGCCTCAGGAGCATGTGCGGCGGTGAAGCCCGCAGTGCAGCGTCCCTGCCCTGCCCACCCCACCCCGAGCCGGTTACACGACAGGTCCCTCCCCCGCTCCCAGCGCACTCACCGAACACGAAGTTGTCTGGCCTGAATATCTGGCCGAAGGGCCCGGAGCGCACCGAGTCCATGGTGCCGGGCTCCAGGTCCACCAGCACGGCGCGGGGCACGTACTTGCCACCTGCAAAACAGGGAGAAGCCGTGACTGCGGCGCCGGGGGCGGCCCGGGGAGGGGGCGGGCGGGGCGCCGGGCCCTACCTGTGGCCTCGTTGTAGTAGACGTTAATGCGCTCCAGCTGCAGGTCGCTGTCTCCGTGGTAGGTCCCGGTTGGGTCGATGCCATGTTCGTCGCTGATCACCTCCCAAAACTGCCGGAGAGAATCGCGTCAGGGGCGGCCGGGCCGGGCCGGCCGGGCCCCCACCCCTCCCATCTCCGCCCCCGCCGCCCCCTGCCCGCACCTTGGCCCCGATCTGGTTTCCGCATTGCCCGGCCTGCAGGTGCACGATCCCTCATGAGATGGCGGCGGCACAGCCCGCTATCAGCCAACGCCACTCTTCCCCCAACCGACTCTGACTGCGTGAGGCAACCGCCAAGCTTTATATAGCAGCGGAATGCGCGCGCAGCCTTCTTTTCCCCTCCCAGGCGGCCATTCACAGCAGCTACTGGCTACTCATAACGAGGCTCTACAAACGAGGAAATCTGGTTGGTCGGAAAGCTGTCATTCAAATCATTGGCTCCTACTTGCTCCGCCCATCTGTCTGTTGATTTTTACTCTTAGGCAACCGGGGCCCACGAATGCCCGCCCTACTCGCTCAGAACACTCCCGATTGGCTTAATTGAATGATTGATGTCGAGCATGATTGGCTGTCGGCCTCAGGGATGAGCTAACGTCATTTGATTGGATGAAAACAAAGTGTCCTAGTAACCGTCGCAATGACTCCGCACTGGGCGGTGGGCGGTGGCTCGCGCAGCCGCCTATTCCCGAAGCCGTGTGCGCAC